TTAAATGTGTTACTTATAAAATATTCTACACACAAAATAAATTATGTGCTTCAGACAGATTTACAAAATGGTTTTATGGCTCAGTCTATTTAAAAGGTAATCTAAGCAAGCTGTGGCTGCACAGCCGTTGGCACTAATCTAAAAGACATTTAAGTTTCCCTTGCCTCTTAGATGCTATTATTTGAGTTAAAAACCTTATCAGGAGACCATGCTTGGGAGAAAACATAGAAATGTATTTCAGTTAATGGTTCAGACCCACCTTGTTTGCTCTGGAAACTGACCCCATACTGTAAATTCTATCTCTGCTGTACAGTGCATTACTTATAGCATATGAATAATGGATATTATAAACAAGCATTACAAAGTGAATATTCAGTTAACAATATTATGGAGCTTCCATTCACAGCATAGTTCATGAGTGATACAAAATTTATGGTTCTTATCACCAATGAAAAAATTTGCATATCCCATCACAGAGTTCCTACAAGAACCCATTCTGCATTTCTTATCTCAAGGCTTTTATGGTAAGAAATATTGCATTAGGCCCAGTAATTTACATTTTTCCAATAAAATTCTAAATACATATGCAGCAGCTCTTTATTGACTGGCTTCATGTTACAAATTATAAGCTTGGATCTGAATACATTATGACAAATATTGATGTCTAAATAGTCACCGTGAGTGAGATTTTATCCTGGTGCTGAATTACCACACCTCTTGTCTTTTATAGCTGTATCTTATCTCCCAGCTACTGTACTTTGTGGAAAGTGAGTAAATAAATATCATTGCCTTACTTCTGACAGTTCATTTCATTCAGTTCCATGTGGCCAAAATAGCAGGTACGACTCCGTGCGAGGGTTTTCTAGCAGCTCTCCTCGGACAGACATTTTGGGATCTACAGCTATGATAACCCCTGCTTTCAGCATGTCACATCACCAAGCATTGCAGGCTTTGCTGTCGAAGCAGCAGATGAAGTCCAGTGTCTGTTGAAAATTAGCAAAATATATCAGTGCTGCTCTGGGATGTCATTGAATGGACAGTACTGTGCATTCAATACATCTGCTCCACGGTTGGGTTGTTCAGCAGTTTTTTGTTCTAATGGATAATCTCAGCCTTTGTTACCTTAACAGCATGATTACACGTGGTTAGGAAACAGGAATAAGGCACTTTTTGTAAAAAATCAAAGCATCTTGGATACAGCAGTCCTCATCCTCACAAAGCTCCTCGACGGAGACCAAGTTTGCGACAGCCCTCACTACGCCTCAGCCCAGGGGAACTCTGTCCCCAACCCTCCCCTACAACCCAAATGCCACCTCACGCCCTGACTTGCGACCACCTTGGCTCCTACACCCTCCTATTCACAGCTTGGCTGCGCTCTCCTTCCCAGCTGCAATGCAGTTTGTAGGGCAAGGGAACGATGTGGCACCATCTTTGCTTCCGTAGCACCCGAGGGATAGACACAGACAGAAGAAAGGTGAAGGGCCTTGGAGGGACACACAGCGATGAGACCATCGGCAGTATGGAGAACGTTTCTTCCCTGATGAGGAAGGCCATCATGCATCAGGCAGCTGGGTCACAGGCGGGGGGAAGAAAAACACATGAATCCAAGGAGATGTCCCACATGCACTGGGTCATTCTCTTCCAGGCCTGAGCTAGGCAGCTGAGGTATGCCTGAACTTCATTATATTTGTCAATTCAATCCGCTTTCTGGGAGTCAACAAAACCCAAGCTGTTTTTCCAAATATTTATTAAAAAATTACTGCAAGTGAAAAAAAAAAATCAATAAGCAGTCCAATGGCAGATTTATTACAGTTTTAACAGATAAAGGGAATGAATCTACTTTATGATCAAAAATAGCAATAGGGAAGTATACTGAAGGTTTCTAAATCAAATGATAAGATGGAAACAGCATATGAAATACATATTTATATATAAATACATTGGTTACATTCTTCTTAAATAAACAACATTCATTAGCAACATCCAAAAGTACTTCTTTGTGGCAACAGATTTCTCTTCCCTTACAGCAATACTGTGTCTCCATAAGTTTATGTCCACTATGACAATTTTGGAGTTTGGGGCTAGAATAGGTATTCAACACCACCAGGTCAAATCCAGAGCAAGTGATTTAAAACCAGTTTATAGGAGACCTCAATGTTATTTCTGAGACTTAAGGCTAGGTATGCAACAGGTGGAGTTGGCAGAGCGTGGTTTAAGCTGTGGGATCTCCTTGAAAACTCGAATTTGGTTTACAGCTAGATCCCCACAGGAAAACTCTGACACTGCTCAGGATTCCAAGTTTAAGACACAATTCCCTTTTCTGTAAACAAATGCTAACAAAATAAACTCTGTACCCTGTCAACCATTTCTTAACATAAAAATAAGGAGCTGCTTGGGTAGCTTTAAAATAAGTCAGTATAAAAATCTATCCTATCCGAAGCACTCCCTCTGTATCAAAGTGCTAGCAAGTGGCACAGTGTTTTCTGTTTGAAGCCATGTTCCTGGCTTTTCATATTTCATATTGCAAACCTCAGCTCTAGCAGGACTGAGCTCAGGACTCCAACTGTTGCAGCTGAATCATCCCAGCTCCAGGCTCACTCTCAGGCAGCCCTTGCATAGCGGGACACCCAAAGCGCTTCTGAACAGGTCATACTAGGGCAAGTTCTCTGTGCTGTCAGACAGACGCGCCCGTCACAGCCCCATCCCCACCCTGCCAGCTGGTGGCAGGGTCAGACGTGCAGGGAGCTCCTCGGGACCCACCCCAGCGCAGCAGCCACTCAGCCCCTCCCCTGCAATGACCCTGGCAGGAGGTGGGCTCAGACCCTAAAGCCGAAGACGCGCA